ACGTCAGATTGCACGATCTTTTATTTTAAGTTCGAAAATTTTTTGTATACCAGAAATATAAACGCTTCGCATCTATACCAGCATCAAGAAATATCGGCATTCATGCATTCGTGCATTTGTTGGTTGCATATGCTAATTCATTGTGCGATAACTCACGAAACGCAAGGTCGTTGCCGATAACAGCTGTTTGTGTCCGTCTGTTATTGTCACAGAGTCCCATCACTAACATTGGTCTTGTCTAAAGAAATTTATAAAGATTTCGACAGATAGTAAAAAGCAACATAAAACGAATTGAGCAGCGCGCAGGCAAAGGCATACTGCGACTCTAACAGTACAGCCAGTGTAAAATTAAATAGCACGCGCACGTTACACACAACTCAGTTTATTACAAATTTTCATAAATCCAATATTGCCAGCCATCGTCGTCCCCCTAACCCCTCGAGCAGCAGTTTAGCCATCAACGTTTGCAATGGACAAGCTCATCAAGATGACGAACCATCGTTCCGGGATAGTCGTGGGCGAAAAATACAGAATCATACGTAAAATAGGTAAGTGCAGCCAACCATCCATTTAGATATTTAGCAGCAGTTGCCCCATTTTTTTTTTCGAGGGTCAGGGCCAAATGCAGCTCGCCTGGATTTTTGATTTTGATTTTGTGTATTTTGTGAATTTCTGCATTTCTGTTTTTGTGATTTGTGCTATGAAAGTTGTGAATTTCGAATTGAAAATTGTACTATGTAAATTTTAAATTGACATTTAACTTTAGGAAGTGGCTCCTTTGGCGACATCTATCTGGGCATGAGCATGCAATGCGGCGAGGAGGTCGCTATCAAGATGGAGGCAACCAATGCCCGCCATCCGCAGCTACTCTACGAGTACAAGCTCTATCGCGTCCTCAGCGGCGGCGTGGGCATTCCGCGCATTCGATACTATGGCAATGAGAAGAACTTTAATATATTGGTTATGGATCTGTTGGGACCCTCGCTCGAGGATCTTTTTAATTTTTGCACACGTCACTTTACCATTAAGACGGTGTTAATGCTGGTCGATCAGATGATCGGCCGTTTGGAGTATGTGCACAACAAGTGCTTCATTCATCGCGACATCAAGCCGGACAACTTTCTCATGGGCATCGGACGGCATTGCAACAAGCTGTTCCTCATTGACTTTGGCCTGGCCAAGAAATTCCGTGATCCTCATAAGCGCATACATATACCATACCGTGAGGAGAAGAACTTGACTGGCACAGCACGCTATGCCTCGATCAATGCCCATGTTGGCATCGAGCAGTCCCGTCGCGACGACATGGAGTCGCTTGGCTATGTGATGATGTACTTCAATCGCGGCGTGCTGCCCTGGCAGGGCATGAAGGCGACCAACAAGAAGCAGAAATATGATAAAATCTCTGAGAAGAAAATGTCCACGCCCATTGAGGTGCTCTGCAAGGGGTATCCGGCTGAATTTTCAATGTATTTGAATTACTGCCGCAGTTTGCGCTTTGAGGAGGCGCCCGATTACATGTATTTGCGTCAATTGTTCCGGTAAGTGATTGTCAAACACATTCTCTCTCTCACTCTCTCTCTCTCTCTCTCTCTCTCTATCTGTCTGTCTGTCTGTCTGGCAATGAAATGCATTAATTGATTTGATTTGTTTTCGATTTGACAGCATTTTGTTCCGTACGTTGAACCATCAATATGATTATATCTATGACTGGACAATGCTGAAGCAAAAGACCCATCAGAATCAGCAGCAGAGCGCGGATAATATGCTGACGCCGGAGCAGCGTGCCGAACGTGACAAGGAGAAGCAGAGCGGCAGCAAGCCAAACACATTGCCCGACTAAACGATGCTCGTTCAGAGCGATTATAATAGCAGCAACAGAATAACACATCAAAATATAAAGGAAAACAAGTAAAACAGCAAAAAAAAAAAAAAATAAAAATTAAAAAAAAACAAAAACAAAAAAAAAAAACTATAATCGAATAAACAACAACAAGAAAACAAAAGCAAAAAAAAATGAAAGATAAAAAAAAAAAAAACGGCACTGGCTGCATTGCAGGACGAGCTAACCAGGATTAGTAGATGAGAGAGATATGCATATATAACAACAACAACAACAGCAACAACAACAATTTGTAATATATATATATGTGTATATACATATATTTGTATATATATATATGTGATATATACATATATGTACATACATATATATGTATATAGTTTATTTTTATAACAAGTGCAAGGGCAGCAGCTATTATATGTATATAGAATTTAATGTTACACACAGAGATAGAACTCCCCCTTCCCCGCTCTGTTTTCCCCCATCAGGACACAGCTCCTGCAATGCACACGAGAACACACACATTTATATATACATATGCATATGTATATACATATATATTCTATATAGTTGCTATCAATGCTATAGTTGGGTCTGTTATCAGAGACTAGACCCAGAACCGGCATATATATGTATATAATTATATATTGATATGCGTATATATATGTATATATATATACATGTGAAGATATATATATGTATATGTATTGGTGTCTATATATACATATATATATTGTAGTATATCATAAACACTCATTCACACTCACACACACACACACACACAATTAGTTGTATTAGCTAACACAAACAAATTTGAAGCGCAGAAGATGTTTATTTTCTTCTTACCTCCGTTGCAATCGCTTAAGTTACACAAAATTAACTGCAAACAAAACAAAAGAAGAAAAAAAAAAAACAAAAAAAAAGAGAAATTGTATTAAACGTTCGTCTAATCAGGTGCACAATTACAACCCGCCCCACTCACACACACACACACTCCTCAGCCCTACTAACCCACACCCACCACACATTTGACACTGCATCGAGTTCGCCTTTTCTCATTTTTGTAACGTTTTCCTTATTTTCTTAAGTCTTTAAGGACGAGCACAAAAAAATTCTTCGTTTTATCCGCAATAGCAATAAAAAATCATAAAATCAAAAATTATACAAAATTATACAAAATATATATATATATTTATATATATATGTATGTATTTTACACATTCTACTCCATGTTAAACCAATTGTAAATCCAAAAACGTGAAAAAGAAACCCATTTGTTTAACAACAAATAAAAAAAAAAAAAACACTGCGCAAATTATAATTTCATAATATTTCGAAATTTTCATCTTCCCACAATTATTTTTTTTTTGTTCTGAACTGAAAACAAAAGCAAGATCAATAATAATAATAATACATAATAATAATTTAAAAGAAAAAAAATCTTAAAAAATAAAAAAAATAAAAAAAATTATATAAATTATGAATAAATACAATTAAAAATTTATGCATTAAGCATACGAGTATGTAATATAACAAACAATTGTAATATTGTAATCTATTATTATGAGAAAGTTTACAAATAAAAACAAACAACAAGAAAATTACAAACAAAAAAAAAGTCCCCAAAAAAAATGCACGAAATATTTTCCATTTCAGATTCGATTAAAAAACTTGAAGTTGAGTTGAAGTTGAAAACAATTCCATGATAGATTGATTGAGAAAACAATTGTGAATTGTTTATTCACCATTCAGGTTGATTCACAGATTGGCTGATTAGCTATAGACTAGCTTATAGACTGGGCTGACTGACTAATAGATGGGCTGATTGGTTTAATGCCTAGAAAAAGCGAAAACTGATTGAAACAATGGTGCAGAGCTTATTATTTATATCGAATGTTGATTGGCTGACTGATTGATTGACTCAACGGCTTACAAACCAACTATATAAATAATACTAATTGAGCTGTTCTGTTTATTGGGTCTATATAGCTAGAGATTTCTACAGAAAATCGCAGCAAATATGAGAGACCGAGCAACGCCTGGTAACAAGAAAGATATATATGTATGTGTGACTGCTCTTTCCACTCTTTTATTACAAGTCAATCTCATCCACAACATTAAGCTATATATATGTACATATTCTCGATCCAGTTGATGAGCCAGATAGCTAGTTATTCGATCTTTCGTCAGCTATAGAAAGATGAGATATAGCTACTTCGTTGCCGCTGGCCCGTATTTGTTTATGTTTGATTGGCTGACGACGCTACGACGACAATTGGGCACCGCCGTCTAGGCTGGAGACACTACCTGAGACACATGTTTGTCAATTAAACGAAAACAAACTTTAGATTCAGATTTGGTAAACAGCAGAATCAACTTTTCATATGAATCAACTTTACAATCGCATGTTTATGTTATTGGCACTCGAAATCTTGCATTGTTTGTTGATAAAAACGAATAGGTACGTACAGCTAAGGAGCTTACTGGAAATAAAAATACTATATCTTCAGCTCTGTTATAGTAGATTCCATTTCAATGCAATACGATTTACGAATCAGGCCACAATTTGAAGTAGTACGAAATATAGATTCAGTTGCTTGTAAATTTATAGGTAAAATGGATTAGCTGGAATTTTTCATCAACTAACCTATATAGCAGACTGTATTCATGTAATTCACTCTTTTATCTACCCATCCATTCTATAGACCAGATGGGTTCTATATCTTAATTGTATTCTGTCTACATCTGAAATGATCTCAATCATCTACCCTATATCTATCTCAATTTAGAGATCATTCTACGAATCTATCATTCATTCCTATATCTGTCTATATAAGTACTACGCCCCATGTACTTTATTATCCTATATATATCTCATTTTACAGATCATTCTATGAATCTATCTTTTAATCCTATATATATCTCTCTATATAAGTACTACGCCATATCTACTCTATTATCTGTGTATTGATCTATCTATCCATCCATTGATGCGTCTCATATCCAAATTTCTTTCTGTCTAACTATCGACCTATTCATCTCTCCATCCATATATGCTATCACTATATAAAGAGATCCATCCTATCCTGTTCCTTTATATCTGCAATTTAATCCCAATTTCCAATACAGTTAAAAAAGAAAAGTAAAGAAATTACACTTTAATTTTAATTTCAACATATTTATTGATGTAATTCAAAAAATTAAATATAAGTTATCGTTTATAATTATTACGGCTTACAATGCAAACATTTATTTGCAGTTTTGTTTGTTGGTTTTTTTTTTTTTTTTAATTACTTTTCTTTTTTTTTTTTTTTTTATGGTTTTTGTTTCTATATATTTCTCCTCTCTCGCTTGGCCTTGCTCGCATGTTTTATTTATTCAGATTTTTATTGCGTTTGATGTCTGTTTTTTCTATTTATTTCATATTTTTATTAAAGTGAAATCAATACCAATTTATGTATATAAAAATGTTTATATACATATATATATAAACATTTCTGTATGCATATTTTTACACGCGAGAAACATTTGAATGTGTGTATATGTATGTGTGTGTATTGCATTATATACATATATAATATATATTTTTGCATATATCATATATATATATATATATATACTTATATGTATACTTATATACATATACATATACATACATATACATATATATAGTTTTGTTTTTGCTTTTATTAGGCTAAGTGTTTTGCTCTTTTGTGTGTGTGTGTGTGTATTTATATATATGAAAATTGGCGTGTGTGTATATATGTGTGTGTGTGTGTGAGTGTGAAATCCATTTAAATATATCTTTCATCTTAATGTTTGTTTTGTTTTCGTCATCGTCTTAAATGTTTAGTATTGAATTTAAATTAATAATAAGAAACATCCTAGCTTCCGCTTCCGCTTCCACATCCGTCTCCTCCTCCGTTCCACATCTTTCATTTCATCTTTATGCTTATTTGTTTACTCCATTTCAATTTCAATTTCAATTCATTTTGTGTTATTCATTCTGCTGCTGTTTGTTTTTAACGCTTGCCACCCAATTATTTGTTTTATTTGTATTTGCATTTGCATTATTATTATTATTATTTATCTGCCTTTCAGCTGAATTACTCGGTGATGGGAGGTTTGCAGTTCGGTTTCTCTTTCTCCTTATCGCGATCGTTGCGTGGCTCCAACTGTTCCAGCATCAAGGCGGGATTCGGCTGACCCTGGTGGGTCTTCTGCTTCAGCATTGTCCAGTCATAGATGTAGTCATACTGATGGTTCAGCGTTCGGAACAAAATGCTAAGCGTATCATCAAGAGAAAGGAGAACGAAAAGAAATATTTGAAATTTATTTTTGTATAGCGATCGACTGATGTATAGATAACTATTTACCCATATCTCTGTGTATCTATACACATTATATCTAACCGTTAATATATGCTACATACATTACTTAATTTCTATCCATAGCTATATCTATATCTGGCTATCTATCAATATATATCCATCCATCCAAATGTTCTGAGCTACCCATATATATTCAGATATTTCGCTGACTTTATCCTGGTCTATCCATAGATACACTTCCTTAACATTCTATCTATCGTCTATTCTTTATACATCACTGATAGCTTATCTGTCCATATTCATGAATCTTTCTACCATCTATCTGCTATTTGATATTCCTTTATATCTCTTTATTGGTGCATTCATCTATCACGTACTTATCTTACAATCCCACTTATTTCTACTCTTAGCCACTCATAGCTTAACTATTTGCGTATCTATCATATCATATCGATTTCTTTGTCTGATAATGCCAGCTTTTGTCTGAGACATTTCACTTTGTTCTCATAGTATTCCTAATGCTCCCTAGAATCCTCAAGACTACAATACTTGAAAAGCCATTGAACTAAGCTGATCGCTTAAGTCAATCAAATCTTAAGCTAGATTACTATTCATGTCTATATAATCTGACTCCAAGCCAAGCGAATAGACTCGTTCTCAAATCTCCTCGAGTAGAGTCGAGCTTAAGCAGACATCGAAACAGTTAAAGGGAGCCGTACGGCTGGCAACTAACCGGAACAATTGACGTAGGTACATGTAGTCGGGCTGTTCATCGAAACGCAAGCTACGACAATAGTTCAAGTACATGGAGAACTCGGCCGGTGAGCCCTTGCAGAGCACCTCGATGGGCGTGGACATCTTTTTCTCAGAGATTTTATCATATTTCTGCTGCTTATTGTTGGCCTTCATGCCCTGCCAGGGCAGCACGCCCCGATTGAAGTACATCATCACATAGCCAAGCGACTCCATGTCGTCGCGACGGGACTGCTCGATGCCCAAATGGGCATTGATCGAGGCATAGCGGGCTGTGCCCGTTAGGTTCTTCTCCTCGCGATACGATATATGCAGGCGACTGTGGGCGTCGCGATATTTCTTGGCCAGGCCAAAGTCAATGAGGAACAGCTTGTTGCAATGCCGTCCGATGCCCATCAGAAAGTTGTCCGGCTTGATGTCGCGATGAATGAAACACTTGAGATGTATATACTCTAGACGGCCGATCATCTGGTCGACCAGCATCAGTACGGTCTTAATGGTAAAGTGGCGCGTGCAAAAGTTGAACAGATCCTCCAGCGATGGCCCGAGCAGATCCATGACCAAAGTGTAAAAGTTCTTCTCCTTGCCATGATGACGGATTCGCGGAAATCCAACGCCTCCGCTCAGCACACGATACAGTTTCGCCTCGTACAGCAGCTGGGGATGCCGGGCATGAGCGCTCTCCATCTTGATAGCCACCTCCTCGCCGCTCTGGATGCTCATGCCCAGATAGATGTCGCCAAAGGAGCCGCTGCCTGCAAAACAATAAGCCATTATTTAATACAAATATCATCTATCTATGTTTAGCTACTGATCAAGTATAAAGTGGCTAAATTGAGTCAGATATCTGAGACTTTATGTTTACATTGAGCAAAAGTAAGACGATATTTACTTAATTATATCTTAATAGGTTCTTTATAAGTCTGCTATATCGCATCGTATTAGCTGCAGTTCGATAAATAAGCTCGAGTAGTTTACACAATAAAGTAGTTCTGGAAATGAATACGATATGAAATAGCTAATGTAATACGATTATATGATTAAGAAACTACACAGATGTCAAGTTATTTTTAAACATAAAGCTAATATTTCAGGCATATCAGTTTATATCATAAAGAGCCATATATATGGTAAAGTTCGTAGAACCATTTGTATGCACCGAAGCCTATATATGATCCAGAAATAATGCTTAAGACTTTCTATAGCTATATATAGCATATAGACGAGATATATAAACTTGATATGTTTTTTGCATTGAAGTTCATAGAGCAAATTAGCTGTATAGTCAAACCTACGATAGTTATAAAAAGTGTAGACTATAGATTTAAATGATCTATAGGAGAACAGACAGAACGGTAAGGTCGGAAGGCCACATGGAGTTGTATTTAACAAAGGCAAAACTGAATATATATAGTAACAGCTGTAGCACACATTGCTATATATGAAACTACGTAATGCCCTCTGTCTATATGTATATATAGAGCATATTGCTTTAATTGGTCTAAGCTTTCTTGACGGTTTTCAACAAAAGATCTATTTGATATGGTTATAGTAGGCCCATAGAGTTATGCGAGCTATAAGACCCACTGTATATACAACTCTTATTGTTTTTATAAATATGGTTTCACACACACACACACACACACACACACACACACACGCACAGTTGTATGTATTTGTAAACAAAAGAGGTGGAAAAACAAAAAGCATATGAATGACAGTTGCTATGATAGCCCAGTGTTTACATTATGCGATTTCAATCAGTATCTGATTACGAATGAACGCAGCAGCTATGCAAAGTTTGTTTAATTCAATTGAAAGCGGAGGACTTCCAGTTGAGCCTATCGAATTGGCTATTGGTTATATGAGATATACGTAAACAGTTATGGGCCTGAGCTATGAATGGACCTAAAAGAGTTTGGGCTTAAACAAAATTCCTGAATGAATATGTATTTATAATAGAGATACACACACACACACACACACACACACACACACACACACACACACACACACACACACACACACACACACACACACACACACACAACATACATACATCTATGTGGCGACTTACCGATCTTGCGTATCACCCGATATTTGCCGCCGATTATGATCTGGGAACGATGTTCCTTCATCATCCGCAAGTTGTCCATGTTGTTGGGATAAGGGCTACGCCGCGCGCTCGCTGCTATTTAACCACTCAGCAACTCTGCTTCTTCTTGGTTATGTTCTCTTTTATTGTGTTATTGCATATACATATATATATATATGTATATAAAATATAAACAAATATATACATACATATATATATATATATATATAAATATATATATATATATGTATATATATATATATATTTGATTTTAACTTATAGACGAAATCTGTTGAAGACGTAAATATAAAATAAAAACAATAACTGTATTCATTTGTTTATTGGCGCCAACGGAGCAAAAGGCATAAGCACAAGCACTTTCTTTTCGAACGTTGTTTTTTTGTCCAGTTATTTGTTGTTGCTGTTGCTCCGTTCGTTCGTTTGTTATTGCACACACACACACACATATACATATACACACACATATACATATACACACACGTTAAAACACACACTTGCTATATTGTTTTGTTATGATTTTCGCTGCACTCTCTTTGGTATTTATGCTTCGCTAAGCGATTCGCTTCAAAAATAATAAATAAATAAAAATAAAACCTTAAAGGGTGGAAACATTCGCCTGCTAATATTGCGCATTTTCATAACGAAATTAACATTTTGAATCGATAGTCGATATACTGAATGCGTGCGCGTGTGCATATGTTTGTGCAAGTGCTGGATAACAACAACAACAACAGCAATAGCAACAGCAACAACAGCCATGGGCTTCTGGTGAGGAGCAGTGTCAGGTGGCCCCCTTGGTAGGAGACATAAACAGACTGTGCTGTTGTTCGATTAATTATTTTCATAATTGCCGATTTCTATATAAACAGAGCCACTGATAAACGATAAACAACTGCGACAACTAATCACCCAGCTACAATGGCAGTTATAGAACAATAACAACAACAACAGCGTCAACGGGACAACTACATGCTCCGCTTCTTTCACCCCGTTGGAATGCACTTTACACACACGCACACGTGTGTACATATATGTATATGCAAACGCAGCAGCACCAACACTTTTGCATTGGTGTATATGTACACATACACTCACGCACACAGCTGCAGCCAGTTTCCACTACTGCACCTTACATGTTTCTTTTCCATCGCCTTTTTTTTTTGACACAAAAGAAAAAAATTAAGTCAAATTTTAGCCCGCATTTGAACGCATGCTGCGCTTTGTTTTACATTTTCGTAGATCGTTTGCAGTAAACTTGTTCAAATTTGCTTTTCCATTTCTTTTCCTTGTTCGGTAATTTCTTTATTTTGGCATCAAATCTTACCACGAAACGTTTGCGAACATCAGTGAAATGGTTTAAAACTGCTGTGTTGGGTGTTTCTCAAGGTTGGCTTTTTACTATTGTACGAGGGGGCCAAAACGAACGACAAAAAAAAAAAAAAAAAAATTTTATATATGCAAGTGTATGTGTGTGTGTCTGTGTGTTTATGTGTATGTATATATGTATGTGTGAGTATGTGAAATTTCGTAGGAAATTTGCGTCTGTGACAGCGAGGTGGCCCGTTAATACACTCGCAACTTTCGCGTGAATGTCTTTTAGCACTTTACATACGCGTACAACGAAAAAAAGAGGAAATATGTGTTTTTATTAACTAAAATAAAATGGTTAGACTCCAGCAAAAATGCTTTTGCTAGTGCTGACAGCCAGCGATATACACGCACGACTATCGACTATCACAGCACGATACCGCGATAGGCCATGTCAACAGCAATAACAGCGCAGAGCAGCCAGACCAGTGCAGTGCTGCATAACGCCGTATGTAGATTTATCGTGGTGTTTTCTTTGGCAGGCACTGCCACACTGTCGCCAGCTTTGAACTTTAAAGGAAACGATCCAAAAAATCAATTATTGCATTTGTTCTCTTATGTAAATAAGGAGCCAGTAGCTATTTGGGTGCCTAACTATGTAAATATTGTTGTATTCCATAGCGCAGGCTTGCCGAATGCTTGGCTGCCTTCGAGACTGTTCTAGATGTTTTCAAAAAATCATGGGTCAGCGCCGAAGAACTTGCAGCGCGCTTTTTGAAAAGCTTTTTCTACTTAAACGTATGCAAATATATTTGCTTTCTTTTTCATGCCCACGCCCTATATAAACACAAAGTGGATTCCTTTAGCCAGCGAAATTTCTGGAAAACCCCCATTTTCTGATCAGCCGAAAGCAATGGAATTTGTTATCTTTTTTTTTTGGTCTATATATTTTTATTAAAAACATTTTTTTGTATGGTTTTTTGTTTTTTTGGTTTTGTTTTTGGTTTTTTTGTTTTGTTTTTTTTTGTTTGTAAATAACGTGACGACTTGAAAACAGAAATTAAATAAGTGTACTTTACTCGTAATGTAGTAGAAAGTGTTATAAAAGCAATATTACAATAACTGTGGTAGAATTGGCTCCTAAAATAGATATTTTACAACTGATACCACTTTTTGTCTTTATATTTAAGCATTAATTGATGCGCTGTACCGCTGAAATCTTGAGCTGTATTGGCCATACGCTCCGCGCGCTCCTCCAACAAATTCAATTTCTCGCCACGCTCCATCGCCAGCTGATGGGCCCGACTGATCTCCGAGGCGGCCGTCGATGCCCGTTGGCCCAGCTGCTCCAAGTTGGGGCCGGGTATATGACGGGCAACCGAACGATTTGCTTTCCCGCTCTGTTCACCAACTATCGGGGAGAGAGTTCAAGGAACGGGTATTACTACAAAAGATATCCGAGATCTACGCCAATAATTTAGCATTTTCAATGATAATAAGTATGCTTTCCATTCTGAAACTTCAAAGACATATATGGATGTATGTATATAAGAGTGTTTCCAAGATATAGATTCTCTTCCATTTTCGCTCCTCTGTCTTTTTCTGATATAATCATTTCTTATTCTTTTTAGCTGCTCTTCTTGGTCTCAGATTCTCTTTTTATCCCCTACCTTCTGTTCTTTTTCCATGTTTTTCTTCTTGGCTTTGATCTTCTCTCCTATCTCTCTAATCGTTCCCCTTCTCCTCTTATTTTCTCTTTTCTTCTATTCTCTCTTGTCTTCTCAACTGAACTCTTACATATAATAAAAATTATCTTCTTCTTTCTATCCTCTTTCTATCTTCGCTTCTCTCCATTGCATCTCATTCATTCCTACTATATATATTTATATTTATCTATTACTTACACAACTCTTCGCGATCCAAAAGTTTGGCTCCACCGCCAAATAGACCCTTAAAGAAACCCTCCTTCGGCTGTTCGGGCATTTCGTGTACCGTATATAAATCACCCATCATCTCCAAAATAAATTGACTGTATGAAAAGATACAGATAGATGAATACATTATAGATGATATAGATGTTCTTAATCTCAATTGGCTCTTACCAAAATTCCGATGATATCGTGAATTTCTGAATTTCGGTGGGCGATGCCATGTACAATCCATGACCTTTATGACTAAAGCAAAAGATTTTTGATATTCTGCAATGGATGTGAAGAATCCGATTAAAATATGCCCCATATAGAGATCGTTTTGTCAGCTTACTGAGTTGTATCTTCATGAACAATGATCTGTTGACCCCATATCGAAAGCATTGGATCCACAATTCCCTGTTTACATTTGGTTTGAAAACTGGAGAGATATAGAAAAATTTTACATCAAATCAAATGTGAAAAATATTTCGAATAGACTTTGACACGCACCTTAAGTCCATAAGCGGTAAGAAATCAGTATCCAATAACAGTTTTAGACTAGGAAGACTATGTACCATTAGATGGCCATTCGAAAGATAGGTTGCTAAGCAAGAGCCATCTATGGGGGATGGATATTGAATTAATAACCTGATTTGTGAAGGAAATCAATAAATACCCTTGCAAATACATCAACAAGGCCTACACAGGTATCGATATATGGCTTATCGATTTGCAAAATAGATAATCATTTGATTACAAAAAATGTAGATATAGTTATATCTGAGGGAATAATTAGGGCATATCGAGTTTTTTTCTGCACTATAAAGGTTTCGATTTTTGCTTATCGATTACGGATTACGGAAATAATCGATAATCGATGGCAATTCAATTGATCATACTGAGTCTATAGTCTACTAGTATGTTAATTTACAAAGCCTATCGATAAATGCTTTTGATTTGTTGCTGTAAGAAACGATATCGGTCGTAAAGATGGAGCATATCGATAAGTTTGCCTTGTTGCTTTTGCAAGGGTATGTACAGTTGTTGCTTTTCATTTTCTGAACCTTTCATCGTGATAGTTTCTGCCTTGACTGCGAAATCCATTTCCGATAATTGTATGCGATTAATGCAGCACTGATTGGCCACATCAAAGACCTTTGTCTGCTTTTCGCTAGCGATAACTATATATTGTCGATCGGTGAGTGTTTCCAGCCCGGTGCTAACGCTGCCGCTGATGCCGCTGCTGCTGGCGCTGCTGCTGCTGATGCCGCCGCCGCTGCCGCCGACACCGGCGCCGCCACCGCCCGTTGCACTGCCGCTGCCACTGCTACCTGTTGCGCCTGCCCCACTCGCCGCTGATGCAGCGCCTCCAGCACCACCAGCCGCTGTGCTGCCCGCTGCAGCTGCGCTACCAGCACCGCCAGCAACCGAAGTGTTTGATATTGTATTGGCAGTTGTTGGTGTAAATGTGGGGCTGGTGCGGCTGCTGCTCTTAGTGGGCGTGCCTAAATGGAGTAGACGGAAACAAACAAACAGCGATATATATCGATTGTTAAGCCGACTCATTCGATTTTCGTTAACAGTTACGATCTTTCTTATCCCGATTCTCGTCGCGCCAAGGCTCAAATGTATAGGGTATGATCGAGCCATACGAGTCTAAAAAAGACATGGAAGTTATGGAACCTTTGAGTCGTACCACGGGTCCACCTAAACAAAACCAAAGCTATTAGATTTATCTACGTAGAAAGAGACAGAGAGACAGGGTGTCTGACTGAAAGGGGGCTACACTATAGCTTACCGTTTATTGTAACCAACACTGGCTGCGATTTGCGCACATCGCGCTCCGGCATTGTTATGAACAATGTCAATATTGAACCGAAACTAGTTCCAATCCATAAAGTAGGAACAAGTGTCAAAATATCTGAAAAGCAAATCAAAGAGATATTCGATATATATAACGATGCGAAAGAGTCTACGAATTATGCGTTGACGCAATTTCATTGATAAATATCGATAACATTGCTGATCTTGATTACTCGATTATGATCGATATTTATTGATATGTAAGAATTTGTATATTAATAATTCCTTATTAATTTGAATTTATAGATCTATGCATTTGGCTGTAATTGTGCTCAAAATGTTCGATTGATCAATTGCGCGTTATCGATTACAATCGATATTCACTGTTCAAATTAAGTGAAGCTTACTTTACATATACTTTACAGTTCTGGAATTATGCATAGGACTTTGTATAATTATCGATATATGTTGCACACTAATCTGTTGGAGTTAAATAATTGTTTATCGAACATATATTATCGGCATATAAGGTTGGGAATTCGATAGCATTTTAATGGATTTTGAATTATATATATATCGATAAAAGATATTCGATAAATAATTGACAAGTCACAATCTATATTTATCGATTAACATTTCACATTATTTTTAAATAAACGCTTTCTTTCTAGTGCATATGTATTTCTATAGGGTAGTTTGATTTCCCTCTAAAGTATGCTATATAAATAGAGATTTACCTCGATGGAAATAGAGAACTTTGGATAGATTTCGACTTACCATTGCGTTTTGCATAACTCTCGATAAAAGCTAAACAGGTAACAGATTCAGAGGAAGACATATCAATGCTCGACATTGATGACGATCTGGATCTCGAGAAGGTGCCATCTAATTTATCTGCAAGTCAGTTTTAGTATGAGGAAACAAATCGATTAATTCAATAAATTAATGCAAATATACATAGATATATACATGTATACATATACATATATATAAGTATATGTATATATATATACGTATGTGTATATCGATTATTAGATAACGGTACAGCAAAGAGAGTGGCAAACGATTACAAAATACAAATTTTTTTATATAGAGAATTTTTCGGAATTTATAAAGAATGAGGCAGAAATAGAGAAAGAGAAAGATATATAGAGAGAGAAATAGACAAAGAAAGAGTGAGATTGAGAGAGAAGAGGAAAGAAAGACAGAGAGAGAGAGAGAGAGAGTAAAAGCGGCGGGCGGTAGTAGGCATAACTTTTGCATAATAATTATTTTATTTAATGAATTTATTAATTCTTCTTTTGATTTTTTACTAAAGAAAATCTATTTCTTTTAATTTTTGATTTTAATTCTTTTTTTTTTTTTTTTTAATTTAATATATTTTTTTGCTGCACTATTTTCGCTAGGCTGCTATTTATTGTTGTTCTTGTTCTATCTATATATGTATGTGTGAGTGTGTGTGTGTGTGTGAATGAGTATATAATATGTGTCTGTGTTTGGGCCAATCATCGAAAGTCCTCAAATACAATCGCATGTGTGCATTTAGTGTGTCTGTGTGGGTGTGCCAATACATTCGTGTATGTGTGTGTGTGAACTATGCAAAAATACTTTTGCCAATGCAAAATTAGCTGAGCTTTTGTTGCAGTTAGTTGTTGCTGTTGCAGTCTTATAAGTTTTTTTTCTTTTCTTATTAGTTGCTAATTGGAAGCGTGCACAAATACCGAGAGCGAACGAGCGAGCGAGACAGAGTGTTTTGTGAACAAATACATAAACATATTTTGAGTAAGACAGAGCGAGAGTATAAACAGAGTAAGAGAACTAGAGATAGAGAGAGAGAGAAATAGAGAGAGAGTAAGAGAGAGAGAGAGAGAGAGCGAGCGAGCGAGCGAGCGAGCGAACGAACGAGCGGTAGAGTGTGGAGCGAGCGAGCGAGTCAGACAAAGTCGTAAGAGTTGTATACAAATATATATATTTTTGAATTTCTTATATTTTTAATAATATTATTAATTTTATTTTTATTTTTGTTTCATGTTTCTGTTGTTGTTTTTGTTTCAGTTTTTGTTGTTGTTGTGAGCGAAAGTGACGAAAAATGTGGGCGAATCAAAGGCGACATTCCTAGCAAACCCCTCCCTTTGCAGGAAATAATAATATTAACCATTGCAGTCGCTGCCATCGCTACAGTCGCTGCCATCACTAGCGCAGCAAGCAAAAAATAAAGAAAACAAAACAAAGGCATGGTAATCAAGACAAAAAGGAAATTACAAGATGGCCGCTGTAAGCGGTGGCGCCTGGCAAATGGACACAGAAGACAATAGTGTGCATGTATGTGAGACAGAGACATAGAGAGAGAGAGAGAGAGAGAGAGAGAGAAGAGAGGCAAACCACAGGCAACGTGCTGCTGAGTGTGCGTATATATGTATGTGTGTTGTGTGCGTGTGCGTGTGCGTGTCAGTGCATGTGCGTGTGCCCATGTGTTAAGTTAGTGTTACAATGTTATATAGTTTGTGTTATACAAACAACTGTTTTGCATAAGTGTAGCACACAGATACATATACATATATCTATATACATATATATATATATATATATATATATATATATATATATATATATATATGGATATATATGGAGACAGAAAGGGAGAGAGAGAGAGAGTGTGTGATAGACAGAGAGCAATGCTTGTTGTGGTGCAAATATGTTGTTGCTTGTTCTTGTTCTTGTTGTTGTTGTTGTTGTTTATTGTTGTTGTTGTTGCTGTTGTAGTGGTTGTTATTGTTGGAGTAGTAGTTGTTGTTGTTGTTTGGTGCTCTGTTGTGCTCCCACCTTGTGATTTGGACTTTTTTAGGGACTCGTACGATGTCACCGACTGCTGTTGCTGTATAACAGATGTTTGATGCTGATGCGGATGCTGATATTGTTGCTGTTGCTGTAGTTGTTGCGCACCTGATGCACCAGCATAAGCACCTGCCTCGCCATTATCTGCATCAAATGAAGCCAACAATTGTTGCAGATATTGTTGTTGTTGCTGTTGTTGTTGTTGCTGCTGATGATGCTGATCAACGCCGCTGCCGCTGCCACCGCCGCCGCCGCCGCTGCCGCTGCCGCCGCCACCCGCACCTGATAGGCCACCACCACTACCAATACCACCAACACCAACACCGCCACTAGCAACACCCGCACCTGCATCGTCCGCACCATAAACGCCAGACGCCGACGTCGACGCTGCAGCTGCAGCCGCAGCGTTTGCTGACGACGACGTCGACGCGGACAGAGGATCGCCCATTGTCTGCTGTTGCTGCTGCTGTTGCTGCTGCTGTAGCTGCTGCTGTTGCTGCTGCTGCTGCTGCTGTTGTTGCTGTAGCTGCTGCTGCTGCTGTTGCTGCTGCTGCTGTAGCTGCTGCTGCTGCTGCTGCGCTGGACTGGCGCTTGCATTAGCGTTCGCATTGGCTCCGCCGTTGATCTGGTCAATTGTAAATAAACAATAATAAGGGAGGGGAGAGAGAGATACACACAGAGAGAAGGAGAGAAAGAGAGAGATAAATGCACTAAATGATTGAATGGAGCAACATATCAATTGTACAATTTGTTGTTCATCTTCTTCTTCTTCTTTTCTTTTTTGTTGGTTCTTGTGCGAGCACGTGTGCATATATATATATATGTACATATATATAGATACATATATATGTGTATGTGTGTGTGCCGTGTGTGTATGTGGCGTGGGTGTGTGTGTGTGACGAATAGCATACTTTGTTTTGCTTGTGTTGGAAGTGTCAGGAAGGGGAAGGGTCGCATGAAACAACGATAAACTTAACAAATGCATAACGAGTGTGTGTGAGAGTGAGTGTGTGAGTAAGAGAAAGACAGAGAGAGCGAGAGCGAAAGAGTGCATATGTATGTAAATGAGAGACACAGTGTAGTTAACAATTAACAGTAATAATGTCCATTGCGTTTTCGCATTGTGTGTCAGGCAAACAGAAAAAACAAACAAACAAAATGCGTGTGTGGGTGTGACAGAAAAAGCAGTTGCTGAGGTGAACAGTGTTGGTAAATGAACAACGTTGGCATTTATCAAAGTGTGAAAAGTGTTCGGTTAAGCAGTGTGATGAGTGCAAATTAATGGAGAACGAAACAACAAATCACAACACAGAGTGTGAGTGAAACAGAGAGAGAGAGATAGAGAAAAGGAGACCGCAACAGCGACTGCCATGGAACTAAACAAAGTATATATATGTATATATGCATATATAAATATTTACCTTATATATACATATATTTATATATAGATAAAGTATATAAATGAGGCAGATCTGAACGAGAACGTTAATTATATAGATAACTAGTTAAATACAGAAACATTATGTAAAGAGGCAAGAATATAAGCAGCTGTAAATGTGGGTGTTTTTGTGTAAATGTTATCGATCGAAATTTATCGATTATATGATGATATACATATTAAGCTTATTAATTTATTAAAAAAAAAATTGTATTATTTTGGTGTTTTGATTTTTACAGTGTTCGTGTAAGCAAACAAAGCAACGGTATAAGCGTTGCAAGCGATTTATTTTTATTGTTTTTATCGATAAACATAACGGAAAGCATAAGAAGCCAAAGAACTAACACAAAAAGTAAAAACTAAACTGAAATCGTTTATAAAGCTAGTCAATAACTCAATTATGAACAAATTGGATAGTTATCGATCAACTATCGCAGCTTCAACAGAGACAAAGGCAATGACAGATCCAAATATTTATAGAGAGAGAAAGAAACGCTTCAGACAGACATTGAGTGAATCAACCAACCAAAAACAAACAATCAAACAAAACACATACATACAAACATACATATATACACACACACATATGAGGTAGTTATCGATAAACGATTGCTGCTGCAAATATAGTCATCGATAGAGATATTATTGAGTTGTTGGCGGTTTGGTGGATCGGGCTGGCCGGCGGTATCGCGGTTGTCACCACATATACATACAAAACATCTATTGGGACGATGGTACTTAATGGTATTTCTTTTTTTTATGATAATCGTAATGCGGATGAGGGCGATGGGCGGTATTTATGGTATTTATGAAACTTACACATAACAAACGTGTAACGTACAACACTCACTAACAACCCATTAAAAATTTGTTGATTTTCATTTTTATGTATATGGTATTTTTGGTATTTTTTATTTGCACAGTGCATACACAGAGGATTTTCTTTAACGAGGTGAATTACACTTAGTGGTTTTGTGTAGTTGGTATTTTTTTTTTGGTATTTTCTTGGTTTATTTTAATTTTTTACAACAGTTATGCATACTATATAAACATTATTTGATATTAGATATGTATATCAACACATACATACATAGACACATATGTATACATATATACAAAGTATATATATATATAAAGAGAGAGAGAGAGAGAGAATTAAAGAGAAAGAGAGAGAGAGACAAAGTATTTTTTTGTTTGTTTTTAAACAGAATTTTAGAACATTTTTATATATTTTCTATTGGTTAATTTTAATGTTATATTTTTTTGTTTTTTTTTTTTTTTTGTTTGTTTCGAGATTTGTTTTTGCCGCCGTTTTGTAAGCCATTGCAGGGTTCGAGGTATGTGAGCGAGCGGAGGGAACGGCAAGGACAGAGAGAGAGAGAGAGAAGGGTGGGGTGGGGGCGGGTGCGGTCTTTCGCACTACTGAGCTAAGATCACAATACATACATACATTGACAGATATGTATATATGTAATTGCTCATATATATGTGTATGTGTTTATGTGTGTATGTGTTGCTTGTTCTGTCATTGTGCTAATTCTGCCTCTGCTTTATCAACATCATCTCTTCTTCTTCCTCAGCTGCAAACTACATACATATGTAAAAGTTGTTAACTTTATGTGTGTGTGTGTTTGTGTGTGCGTGAATTGTGCATTTGTGTGATGTTGTTGTTGTTGTTGTTGTTAGAATGAATTACCAAAGAACTTCCATACAATCACATAAAGGCAGTTATATTGCAGCTCTTCTGCATCCGTTGCCTAGTTTCAGGAGAAAGAAGCATATAGATAAGAATTTCAATTTTCATTTTTCATTTTTTGTTTTGTTTGTTGCTTTTGAAATTTGATTTGCATTGTTGTTGCTGCTGTTGCTGTTGTTGATTGGTGCTATTATTATTATTGTTGTTTTCATTATTATCATAGTCATTATTACATTATAATTATAATTGTTGTAGTAGTAGTAGTTGTTGTTGTTGTAGCTATTGAAAACAAAGAAACTCTACGAAATTTTGTCGCTATACAAAATGCAATTCGTAAAATCAAAACAAATTTGAAGCAGCCCCATTTCATTTCATTTACAGTTACGCTCTCTAATTTGACTGAGGAATTAACGGGGTGTGAGGGAGACGGGTAGACTGGGCTCAGCTTGCTTGCATTACTAAAACAAAAATCTACGGCTTGCATACGATATAACATACAAAAGCCAGCAAAGAGTAAGTGTGAGAGAGACAGAAAGAGGTTGGGAGAGAGAGTTAAATCAGCTAAAGAGAGGGGGGTATGGGTGGGTTATTATTGTTGTTGTTCTTGCTATTTATTGGTCTAAATACGCCCTAATTAATACACACGCACAAAACAATGCACCGCAATGCATGGCAGGCAGCATGGTAAATCAGCAGCACCAGGCAGCCAGCACTGTGTATGTGTGAGTTGTGGATGCGTATGCGTGTGGCTGTGTATGTGTGTGAGAGTGAGAGATTTTTGTCAAATTTACTTTCGATTTCGATCTTCGCCTTTGACTCTCTCGCGTTCGCTCTCACTAAACTGCAACTGCTACAACTACAACTATGCGCCTTGACGCTCACACGCTCACGCTCTCTGTTGTTGCTGGGACGGTAGAGGAGGAGAGAAGGGCAGGGGAATAGTGGAGAGTGGAGAGATTGGAATTAAAACATATGGAGTCAGACCGCTTGCGCCTGTATTACGCTCTCGCTTTCAGTACACTTACGCACTCTGCACATTGCAGTTGTGGGTCGATGAAGGGGTAGGTGGGTGGTTGGTAAGAGTTTTGCTATTTTTAGAAGCATTTACACACGCATACTTACGTATCTTTTTGGTTAGACTGCCGCTCATCATTGGCGACACATCGTTCTTATTGGCCCGCCCAGCGCCAGCTCCGATGCCAATGGCGCCCGCGCGCTGCTCTCTCGGCTGATATTTGATGTTCGGCACCGAGAGCAGGCGCTGATCGCGCGACTTCTCTTTGAACTTTTGCCGTGTCGGCTTCAATGGCGGCTGCTGCTGTAGCTGTTGCTGTCCTTGTTGCGCCTCGCTCAATGGCAAATTATTGGGCCTCTCGCCGCTCTCGGGCGGCTGCTCAAAATCGACACGCTTCTGCGGCGGCGTCGCAGTCGGCGTCACAGCCGGCGCATCGCCTGTATCACAATTGAGCATTGCACTGGCCGCTGCCAGGCCGACATCCTCTTCACGGCACTCGAGCGCCTCAACTGGCAGATCCTCGGCGCCTTCGGGCGAACTCTCTTTGGTCGCATAGAATATGGAGGAGCTGTTCCGCATGGACTCCAGCTCCGTATTGACATTGGGGCTGCCGCCCCCGATTTTCATATTGACTTTTGATAATTGACGCTTCAAATTGAACGTTTTCCATGACATCGACTTGCGGCGATCCTGCAGCTCTTTGGGTGCCACGCCCACCTCATCACGCTGCGGACTTTTGGCCGCGGCCAGCGCTCCAGCCGTCACTGCGCTGGCATTGCTCATTAGCGACTCTTTTGTGCTGTTGATAACATCGGCCACGCCCAGCGGTGATGTGGGCCGTGAGCTTGTGTCGCCCGTTGCTGCCGACGCGGGCGTAGCGGCCGACGTCGATGCCGTTGTTGCTGACAGCGCTGCTTCATTCGCCTCGGGTATGAACTCAATCGACGGACTGTCCGGGCTGGTCGTATCGTTCAGCTATATTTGCATATATATATACACACACATACATACATATATATACACATACATATACATTTACATATATATGTATATATACATATACGTATGCATATACATTAGGAGAGGGATGGAAGGCGGGCGCAATGCCACAAGTTTTAATAAAGTTTCGACTAAGCAGGGAGACGCGTACGTAACAGGGGCATTTCGCATATCCGAGAAACCAAAAGCAAAGCCAAGAAAATAAAGGAATACAAAAAACCAACAAGAAGAACATGAAGAATTGGAAGAGCGAAAACTACTTAGAAGAAGATGAGGAAGCAGCAGCAGCGGCAGCCGACAAAAAATTGTGCAAAGTTTGTTTGTGCGAATTCTTCAAATATCCGATATTAGAATAGGAATAGAGAATCTTTTCTTTTTTGCGTTTTCCAATACTGAAAGCTTTTAATGGCATATCTATATATAATTTCGAACTTTTATACGCAGCATATTTAACTGTTACCTGTATCATAGCATACTAACTTACAATATTGAACTGTTATACAAGTACGTTCCGAAACTGTTATACGTAGATCATGATATCTGACTGTTATATGATATATGATGTGGTATTCAACTTCTAAATATTGTATATCCGCCTAACTCTTATATTGACATATTTCATGGTATACATCTTACTGTTATACTTAGACACAATATAGCTTGCTGTCATTCAAAAGCTTATCAGTCTACTATATTTGTATGAATCCTACAAAACTGTTGTAACTGTTCGTTAAATATATGTGAAATATAACAGCTATATTTATATCAAATCGTACATAACTAATAACTGTTATACATGTGTATAACACCTATCTAACTGTTATATGCATATTGTCAAACATGGCAAACACTTATATCAAATCGTATATAGCTGTCAACTGTTATACACGTGTATAACACCTATCTATATATATATCTATTCATATCTATTTTATAGATAACATTAATGACTGCTCTATACATACAATACTCAACTGCTATATGTATGTACATAGGTAACTGTTATACATTTTCTATATTGTTGTTATATCAATTGTTATATGTAAATGAATAGCCTTTCCAAATTATCTAAGTACCAAATTGGAAACAAAAATATAATTCACAGATAATGAAAAACTTTGCAACTGCTGCTCGCTTTGCTTTTTCTTCTATTTCTTCCTCTTCTATATAGTCTTTCCGTTTTATTCCTCTCTTCTGCTCTTTGTCATAGGTTTTTTATCATCTCTTTATGCTTTACTTTAAAGGCGCTTAGAACTTTTATATTTTTACTTTTTATATATAGAATTATTAAATGTTGTTCATATGGGGTATATATATATATATAATCAGATAAAATAGGGGAATACCGAATTTACAGAGACATATACATATATGCATGTACATATTTATAATATACACACAATCATAAATACATGTGTATGTATGTCCTACAAAGTATACGAATTCATAGCTGTTAACTGTTAGACGAAACGTATAACAGATCTAACACGCTCACACACATACAGTCAACTATGTATGAATTCGCATACATTGCATTAACACTCATATATTTATATGCATATATTTATATATATATATCTATATGTTCATCAATCAGTTATCTATCGATTATCAATCAATGGTCAATTATATATGTATAACAGTTAACATAGATTATTATATTGTGGTTTCACATGGTTTCATTTTCAAATTTAGTTTAGGTTATTTAGTTTAGTTCGGGATTTTAGTTTAGTTTTAGGTTGGGTTTAGGTTTAGGTTAGTTTTTAATGGATAGGCGGAAATGTTACATCATGATGTATAGCAGTTAAAAATATAGATACATATACATATACATATAAATATATATATATATATATATGTTTATGTATATGTCTATGCATATGTATATAGTGTGATGTAAGGTCTCAAAGTTAATGCAAACAAAAACCAATAAAAAAAAAAAATCAAACAAAAATCACTAACACACATACATATACATACACTAAAGGAACGCACATCAATCAACCAATCAATCAATCAAAGAAACCGTGTCTGATTTATACAGTTACAACTAGAGACACAGAGAGAGAAAGAGAGAGGGGTAGTGTGTGAGAGAGAGAGAGAGAGAGAGAGCGACAGAGAGGTAAAGACACAAAGAGAGAGAGAGAGAGAGAGAGAGAGAGAGAGGCACACGCACACACACACAATATACAAATCAATCAATGATGGAACGTGGCAAGATGCGAGCAGGGTGAATGGTGACAGCGTCTGTGTGTGTCTGTGTCTCTGCGTGTGTGTGTGTGGTAACAATCAATAAAATAATCCAATCAATCAATCAGTGTCAATCAATGCAACGTGCAAAGTACAAATTTATAAAAGTATTTCCATACACACGCACACAGAATTCCTATACGTTTCCATTTGATTTACAATCAAAACCAATCAATCAATCTATCAATCATTTATGATTTACCATGCTGACAATTTGTGCGCTTTATTAAAAAAATTATTTAGTTTCAGGGCAAAATCAATACAGTTTTCTTTATATAGTATATATTTATACATATATACATATGGTATATATATGGAGAGAGAGAGAGAGAGAGAGAGACAGAGATATATAGGAGTTAGAGAGCGTAAAGGAGAGACAGAGAGAGAGCGCATACTAATGCCTGTAGTATCAAAAGTTTTGAAATATTCTTTTGCGCAACTGAAAGCTAGACTAGGCATACGCAAAAATTAATACTAGAAAAATACTAGCAAAAATATTGAATAGGTTTAGCTTTAAATGCTTAAAAAATAATTTAAAAAAAAAGCACTAAGCATAGAAATTGAGAGAGAGATAGAGATACACAGAGACAGAGAGAGAGCGAGAGCGAGTATATATATGTATATAAATATATATATATATAGATATATATAAATCAGTCGGCTAAGCCGATTTATGAAACTAAGAAACTAAGGAAACGAAATATAAATAGAGTTTAATTTGCAAATATATAAATATATATTTATATTTATATATATGTATATAAAGAACTAGATATAAAATATACTAAATAAAATGCTACTATAATATTTAATACGAATTTGTAGAGGCTACTAAAATAATTTAGCTATAAATATATAAACCATATACATATATACCATATATATGTATATCGTACATATATATATATATATATGGTATATAGTATATATGTATATATAGTATATAAAAAAAAAACTAATATATATCAATATGTACTTTTAGCTATAATGTAAATACTTTTAAAAATATTGCTTGCATATATGTGTGTGTAGTATTTTTTTTATTTTATTTTTTATTTTTGTATTTTGTACTAAAAATGAGGGGAGCAAACTCAAAGGAAGTGTGTAAGTGTATGTAGTGTATATGTATTGAGTAAATTTTTGTTTATATTAAATAAAAAAAGTACTTCAATCAAAATGCCAGACAAATGCAAATTTTGTTTGGTCTATTTTTGAGTATTTTAGCTTAATTTAACTGTTAAATGAAAAAGTTGTTAAATGCGTTTTCTACAATTGTTAATCAATCAATCAATCCATCAATTTAGGTGTTAAATATTAAATGTGTTAAGTTTAGTATAAATTCATAAATGTTATTGTAATTTGTTATTGTCAAATACATCAATCAATCAATCAATCAATGGCATATTCGAGCGCTATTTGTCTAACACTTGATGCGCGTGTGTCAATGTGTGTGTGTGTGTGTGTGTGTGAGTCATTGTATTAGTGTCATTTGATTGAAGGCGGCAACATTAGCATTAATCATTATTAACATCAATCAATCATGATCAATCATCAACATCATCATCATCAGTATTAGCGTTAACAATCATGACCAATCGATGATGATTAATAATCATTAATAATCATATTAACTATTAGCATCATCATCATCATCATCATCATTGTCATCATCATCAACGTCATCATCGTCAATCGTTATCAATCATATTTGTATACGTGATCAATCAATCAATCACTTACCTGATCAGAACTGGGCGAACGGCTTTGCTCCTCTTTGCTTTCAATGCGTTTTGGACTTTTTGGTGTTCGCGAATAAGGATCGTGTGCGCCATACAGATCGGGACATGCAACACTCAATAGGCAAATTTTTTGGATTATATCAATTATGACAAGTCCATATTCGGTACCATAAGCCATTCTAAAAACAGAAAAAAGAAAAGAACACGCCATCATGTCAACAAAAACAGCGGCATCCAGCAAAACCAACCAAAATGAACCCATAATCAACAACAAAAGAGAACAGAAAAGAAATACTAACGAGTGAACCAAAAATCGATATTGATATATACCTACTATAGATCACGCTCATACACACACACATACGCACTAAAGTCCGGTTTTATTATGCCGAATGCTTGACTGCCTAAGACTAACTATAACGAGTAGCGAGTAGCGAGTAACAAATAACGAGTGCCTAATCCTTCTACCTGGCAATTGTTGCAACTGGCCGCCATTGCAAAAGCATTAAGCCAAAGAGCAGCTCCCTTCAACGACTAACGAGTGCCGAGTGACGAGTAACGAGTAGCTAGTAGCTAGTAGCGAGTAGCGAGTAGAGTATAGCTAGTTGCGAGTTACGAGCAGCTGCTTGCACTTGCTTTACTTGTGAGCGGCTTCCTAACACTAACGTGTGACAAGTGACGAGTGACAATTAGCGAGCACCAAGTAACGAGACGCGTTCTAGTTTAATAACTATATGAAATTGAACGCTATGCTATTTCTGACAAAGTAAAGTCTTTAATGTGTAACAAGTAAAAAATAACGAGTAGAAAGTAGCGAGTAACGAGTAACTGATCAGACGTGTTCTAATTTAATAACTATAAGAAATTTATTGCAATGCAAGAAAAGTCGCTAATGTCTAGCAAGTAAGGAACTCGTTATTCCTCGTAGCGAGTAGCGAGCAACGAATAGCTTCTTGTACTTGCACCCGACGGCAGTTACGACTAATCCCTCTTGGTAAAAATTCAATCGAGTGACTTACTTCTGGAAGTGAGATTATCAAAGTAACGAGTAGATAGTAACGAGTAGCTTACTATTAAAACTTGTACCTCGTTTTAACATTGGAAACTGGCATAAAAGAATAAGAAATATAAGAGAAACTTACGCCAACGAGTAGCGAGTAGTAAATAACGAGTAGCTTAGCTAGTTTGGTCAAGTATGACGTATGCATAGCGAGTAACGAGTAGCTGCTGGCACTCGCTCTAGCTGGCAACTACTGAGAACAAAAACCAAATCAAAAGCAAAAGACAAACGCACGCTAACTAAGTAACGAGTAGCTGCTGGCACTCGCTCTAGCTCTAGCTCTAGCTGGCAACTGGTTGCAACTACACAACGCAAAATGGCAAACGAACAGAGTTAAGCGGGTGCGCGCGGGGTAGGCTCTCGTTGCGTCCAAAACTGTGGCGAGTGGGGAATTTAGTAGGGCTTTACTTGGTTTTTATTTATTTTTGTCTATGGGCTCTAAGTACTTCAGGCGCTTTGTTTTTTTTTTTTTTTTTCAGAGAACTTCATGCACAATTTACGAATACAAACTACGAATACTGCACTAAAATAGATTTTTTTTTTTTTTTGTTATATATTTTGTTGTCCGCGTGTGTGTGTATGTGTGAGAGAGAGAGATAGTGTGTATGTGTGTGTTGTATGGCAGGACACTGTATGACTTGGGGGGTAGATAACGAGAGTGCTACTTACAGTCCATAGCTAGAGTTGATGCACAACGATGTCACCTGTACGGTGCGACGATTGGGACCCGTTGTTAGACAAACCAATTGGGATTGAAAGCCCGGCGGCTTCCGCTGAGCACCAAAGCGCACCTTCAGCGTGCACTCCGTCTGCAAGAGAGTGAAAGAGAGAGAGAGAGAGAAAAGAAATGATAAGTAATGTTAAGAAACCCATATTATAGTAAGAGTAAATACTAAGTAATACTAAGTAGTAGTAGATATATATAGATAACATAGATAACATAAAGAAAAGTTTTAGCTTGTGCAGCTAAACTAACAATTTCTATTGTTATCGATAAATATCGATTTGTAGTTTAGCCTCTTTAACTACTTCCTCATATGTATTTATACATAATATTCCTTGATAATCAATCCAGCATTGATACGCACCTTATCCGAATCACTCGATTCGGTCTTCTGCACCTGATGTCCAGTGAGAAAATCGCATTCCGGACTGGTGCCATAGATGTCATCAAAATTCTCATAGAGTATTGGTATCTCCAGCACCAGCACCTCCGATGTGGATTCGACCTTGCGAAACTTGAACAACATTACCTGGCCCATCGCGCCGGCGACGCAGAGTCGCCGCGACTCCGAGCATAAAAATATCAAATGCACTGCCAATGGATTATCGCTATCCGAGTGGCTAACATGACGCGGCTTCTCGAATATTTTCGCCGTCTTCAATTTGTACAAAATCTGCGTGCGGGCAAAAAACGTGATTTACAGCATATCTCTAGCGTTATAGAGCAACATTGCTTACCTGGAGTGTGCCAGCGCCAGAGTCCCAGAACTTAAGTGACCCATCCTGATGGCCAGTGATGACAATTTCCGAATAACTGCACGAGGCTGGCGACCATTCGCCACCCGAAATGGGCCATTCGCGCTCCGAGAAGCCTGTCTTTTTACTTGTCGTTGTGCGACCAACCTAAGTGAGAGTGAGAGAGAGACAGAGAGAGAGAGAGGGGGAAGAAAAGAGACAAAGGCAAACAATTAGTGATTTGGCTATGGGTCACAAGCTCTATTTAAATGCAATAAACATTGCTCATTGAATGAAATCCCAAATGCAGATTAAATTTTGTATCCTCATGTCAAAGCTCATGTTAAGCTTGAGTGGGTTTGGCCACTGCATGCAAAAACTCAAAGGAATGTGAGAGCAATACTTTTATCCTGATGTTAAGTCTTATGTCAGCTAATAATCAATAAAAGTAATATAACTACAGCATATTTATGCTCGTTGGCTAGTCTAAAACTAATCCTCATGTCAAATTGCATGTTATTTAAAGTTCATTTATTTTACTTATAATTCCCCAGTTTTAACTAGCTGAATACTTACAGAATAGAAAGCAGGAACCAAATCCGATGGGCAATCGGTTAAATATGTGCAACATGTAACAGGTGATTCGTGTAAGTCCATTGGATAAGGCGATTCAAAACATGGAAAACCGGGCGTTAATAAGTCTATTAATACTAAGTCATATTGAAGCAACACAGCTATCGCATATGGTTCCTGGGTTTCTGTATAGACCAAAAGACAGAGATGGAAAGAGAATTATAGAAATTGAATTACAGCAACTTCATTCAATTGTTAACGAACCGCAGGGCCAAGGATTCTCGCAGAGGGTAATGAAATCGCAAACGGCATGCTCCATTTCCAAAACGGTTGTGGTCTTGCCCACCATAACTGTGATGCAATTCGACTTTGAGCCCTTCTCCGATGGCATGCCGCCAGAGAAAATTGTAAAGGTTTCGCTGCGAAAGAATAAAAGCGACAAAAAGAGAAATGAAAATGAAAGTCATCACAGTGAAAGAGAGAGCGGTATGGGAGTGAGCGGTATGAGGAAGAGAGATAAGTGGTTTTGTGACTTACCCAGTTGTGCTTGACTTGAGGTCAACTTTATAAATCGGTTTACATTTTTCCGCATTGCCATCCTTGTTGATTTTCGCTGCATCATCGGGCAATCGAGTCAATTAATCAAATGCTTGGCAAACGTATTTCCTTTTCACTTACCATGCGGACAAACTTGAGACTGGGGTTTCGGCTGCGCCTTGGTCGGCCACGAGCAAATCGATCCGTCCGTATGTGAGGATACAAAGTATTTGCCCTCGTAATGCCAGGCCAACGATTTAACCGCCTCCGCTGCTTGCCATCGAAACTCAGCGGCCTTCGCCTTCAGATCCCACAACACAAGCAGCCCACACTCAAATGCAATAAGCAACTGTCATTGATATGGGATTAATCGATCGATTAGTTGCCAATTCGAATCGTACTAAATTTATAGCACTCACCTTGTTTGCATCCAATGGATTATCACATAACGCAATCACAGCACCTGGATGACTAGTTCTAACCCTGCAAATATTTACAAAAATGTGTAAGATATTTTAATAACATGTTAAAGTTATTGAGCTCTTTTTATCTACAGAGACTTAACATGTTGCTGATAAGAGATGTAAACTTATCATGGGGCAATTACCATAGCTTTAATAGCAGACTGTTAATTTTAACAGAATACTGTATATAAAAGGGGAATGCTAAGGATCTGTAAACTTAACATAGCCTTTACAGCACGCTGATAATTTTAACTGAATACTGTAAATAACAGTGTATGCTAAGCAGCTGTAAACTTAACATAGCTTTAACAGTGTATGCTAAGCAACTGTAAACATAACATAGAGCTGTGAACATAACTGTTTGTACTGAATGCTGTATGTAACAGTCTATGTAAGCTTAACAGTAAACCTGTAAACTTAACATAAGCTGTCAACTTAACTTAAAATGTTACGATTTCAGAGAGAAATAGGTTGCTGATCAGCAACTTTACAGAGCCTAGACAGAGGCCCTTAACAGCAAGGGGCAATGTTAATACTTACACTTCAATTGCTTTATTCCAGTTAATAATATATCCACTAAGTGCAAATGTATCTATGTGAACGACGTGTATGTTACCCTTCTCGGTGCCCACGTACAGCCATTTGCTGCCCACGGGCAAGTGTATGCAAGTGACACTGAAAGAATCAGATTGAAATATATTTGTAGATATATATGATGTTGGTTGGGTATGATTGAGACTTACTGCTCGCGCTGAAATTTGAGACTCTGCACAATGCGCGGCGTCTTTTGGCGTATGTTCCACAAGTGTATTGTATCGTCGGCTGTGACCGTCACCAAAGCGCCCTCGTTCACCAGAAACTGGGCGAAGAGGACGGCGCATTCCGATTCACCTTCATGTTTGGCATGCGCATCGACGCAAGGTCGGCCCAAGCTATGCACAGAGGAAGAAAATCACACAAACGTTAGCCAATCAAGTAGAATTTAATTGAATTTTCCCAGTTCATAATGGAATCAAGTCAATTATGCATGGAGCTTTGTAACAGCCAAGTTCATTACAGTGCTGCCATATGGCTACAATTCAATTGAACCAGCTATATATAAGCCGCAGCCAACTTAATGCGGTCACTCTACACAAATAGCACTCTAGTGAAGCCGAAGCTACGAGAGAAAGCAGCTAAATATAGTTTCTAATCATATTCATATTCTGTTTCAAATTGTCATTCGATAGACTATTTCATCTGCAGGCGCAGCCAACTTAATGCGATGCAGTGCTGCCAGATATTTACAACTTTAAGCCGCAGCCAACATAATTCAAATCATCTTAAAGAAAGCTATTTCTATGTGCATCTTAAGGTGATTTCTAGGTATTATACCTCTCATAATTCATAAAGAACTTAATTCTGTTCCAAGTGTTGCCAGACCACGTAGATAATGTCTAATAAAAATGCTAGAGCATATAGGAATATTGGCAGACCGTTATAATGCAATTAATGAGTAAATTAAGCTCGAGTTTACTGTAACTGGACTAGTTGTAATCACGATATATCGATCTATTATATAACTTACATGCGTATATAGCCGGATTTATCACCAATCGCTAATAGTTTTTGTACTGGATCAAAGGCAAAGGATGTGGGTGAATATGGAAAGCCATGGCGAAAGGTCTGCAAAAACGGAGATAGAATTACAAAATATAGACGAATGTCGAGAAATATTGAATATATAATATATAAATATACATATTTGGGTTAGGTTGCTTATTGAACAGTTCTGTTATAGCCGCGTGTGTCTTATGATAGACTTTATAAAATACAACTACCAAATAAAACATCCGCTGGCTACAACAGACGTCAATTGTTTTCATAGTCGATCACTGGGGTTTACATATGCAGTTTATGTATCGTATATATGTTATGTTATATGTTATATATAGATATTGTATAGCTTTCCATTTATGCATTCTCTTATCTAACTTAAATTCTATCTATCATACTTCATACTATCTATCATACTTCATCTACCATTTTTACCCTTTAAACTCCTATCATATATTTTATATCTTCCATACTCAAACTTTCTATATATGTTTTAAAATCCTATACTTAATTTTCTATCTACCATATTTCATCTTTCTATCCATCTTCGCTCTATCTTTTATCTCCTATGCACTATTTACTATATTTGATCTTTTACTTTCTGTTTTGTAATCTTTATCATTGATATTTAATATCATTTATCTTACATAGCTTCCTCTTGGATACCCTTTGTCTTTTGATATTAAAAGTAGATAATATACAAATATAACATACATAACACATATACACAATGCAATCATTATTTTCATCCAGTTTCATCTTTGTCGTCTTCTCACTTACTTTTTTCAATGTAAAATGCTCGGGCTTTAATTGTTCGAGTATCTCCTGCTCCTGGCGTATGGCTTGTGGCTGTACGGTTTGTCGAAATCCATCCAGAACTCCTTTGAATGTGAACTTTTTCATTTTTGTAACATGAGTCGTCCTGCTGCTAAAGCCGATCTGAAGGTTGCTTCAAAAGGTTATCTAAAAAGGGGGCACAGCTTCTTTCTGCTGCTGCTTTATTCTTCTACTTCTTCTTTAGCTTTATCTTTTTTTCTTGGGATAATGATTTTCTTGTTGTTTCTTTTAACACCGTTGCAATAATAGTTTCTTGTGTTCTGCTTCTTTTTTTGTCTTTTAGATTATTTCTGGGTTTTTTTTTGTTGATTTTTGTTGTTTGGGAAGTGAAACTAGGTTAGCAATAGTCGAATTGAGAGCTGCAATTATCAAAGAGTGGGAGATGGGCAAAAACAAAAGGGAGAGAGAGAGAGAGAGAGAAATGCATTAGTTGAAAAAGTTTTGTTGCATGTGGCTTTAATGGCTGATGTCTAACAGTTTGATGATGCAATAGCAAAAACTACACACACACACACACACACACCTCACAGACACACTTGCTAAACCATCGAATGGTATCGTTAGCATGGCTTTCAGTATACATTTGCTTAGCGTATAAAAACTATAGCCCACTTTTGGGCGCAAACCCATCAAAATGCAATTTTCATGCAAAGTAAATAATGTTGTTTGCCGATATCAATGCTAGTTTTATGACCGCTTTGTAAATAACGGAACATGTTGATTTTACTTAGATTTTTATTGGATTTTCTGCAAATAATGTTAAATACAATATGATTACAAATATATGTCTGTATATAAAAATCGGATTCGTTTATACACATACAATGTTTGCATATATATATTTACATAAATCTGAATAATATATCTATACACATGCATACATACATAATGTATAAATATTTATTCATTGCTGTTTAGGAATATCATCAAATTTATCTCAAACGTTCCATCAATTCATTTGCATCAAAATGTTCTATCGATATTTTGTGGAATAACAATCACGTTAACGACGGCTTTGTCGCCTGGACTTAGCTTGTGGGGCGATGATAAATTAATTGACGGCACAACAAGCCGCGCTCAAGTACCATCTTCATTTTTAATGCAATGGCCGTTGAAAAGGTGCTCGCTATAAAACGAGCAGCGCTGCTTATGCTTGTGCTTTTGCCTGCGAGTGCGAGCGAAATAGAACTAAAGAAATGGCAATGAGGGATGGTAATGAGCTTTGTATGCCTCTGCGGAGCTCTATACGAATGTGCGAGTGTGCGTGCACGTGTGTGTGTGTGTGTGTGCAAATGCGATGTGGCTGTGGGCAGTGTCAAGAGTCAAATGTTAAATGGATATAATTGAAAATCGCTGTTGCCACATTTTGTTGCACAACACTCACACACAGACCTATGGCAACATACATACGTACGCGCATACATATATATAGATGCTCAGTATATGGGTTATATTTGTATATATGTATCAATGCCTGTGTATAGCTGTGGGTATATATTGTTTTATATATATGTGTGTATGTATGTATTTGCACTTATTTTTGGGATGGCACTCAAATCGATTTTTCGCACACTCATCGCACGGCGACGTCGTCGTCGACGTCCACAACGCTGCCAGTTTGTTTTTGTTTTTTTTTTTATTTGCAATTGTTTACGCTTTGTCAAACAAATAATCACACATGCACGTATACATACATACACTGTTTGCATGTGTGTGTGTGTGTATTTAGCTGGGTCGCCAGGACAAACGAGCGCGCAACAGTAAAAAGTGAAAAGCGAATCGCTGGCATACTTTAAATTTAATTTGCACAAACAAAAAGGCATAGGCACACACATACACACACATAGAAGGAACCTGGACTCATGCAGTGAGCAACAACAATAGCACACACATACACACATACATATACGGCGCCTGACCGACGACAACGAGCCGTTTCTCTATGTGTATGAGTGTGTGTGCTGCCTAATGATGATTAAAATACCATCGCTTGTTGTTGGTTGTGTAAACAGCAGTGCTTGGCGCTGGGAGGCTGAGCACACAAGTCACACTCTCTCACTCGCTCCTCTGCCTCTGCACTCCCCCCCTCACTCGTTCGCTTCTCTCTTCTTTTCTAGCATACATACACTTGTGTGTGTGTGCACGTATAGATAACCTCGATTTACAGATTTTTTCACACATACACACACACACATGCTGTACGTCTTTCATCTTTTTTTCTGTGTTCCTTCCTTTTTATGCGCTTGTTGCTACTCACTTGAATTTACTCTACATTTTTATTTATATTTATTTCTTTTGTACTCTTGGCGCCTTATGCCCGCAGCCGTGTCCGTTTCGCTCCTGTCGTTTTTTTTTTTTTTAATATTTTTGCAAATAGCAGCAACTCACACCAAATAGAAAAACTTAAAACCAACAAAAAAAGGGAAAAATAACTTTAACGGTAAATTGTTCAATAGTTGAAATGTGGGCTTTCAACAATTACAGCTGCATTTGGTGTTTCGAGAGACGATTTCAGTATATTCGATAGGCATTTGTTAATGCATATTTTAAAGTATTTTTCGCACTAATAACAAAAATATGTGTATCAATTGATTTTTCACTAGAAAAACACACACACGCACGCACGCACACACACACACAAAGACGAGACAACGGCACAAAAAAAAAAAAAAAAAAAAAAGAAATCACACACAGTGAAGAAAAACGTAGACGGAGTCAAAGTCGAAGTCGGACACACACGGGGATATGTAAGACGAGAAAAATGCTGCTGGTTAGCTGGTTAAATGGCAACTGGAGCTGCTGCTTCTGCTACTGCTGTTGCTGCTGCTGCTGCTGCTGAAGCTGAGGCTCGTTGCCGAGTGGCGTCGCTGTCGTCGTGTTTGTAAAGGCATTTTTTGCACCTTGTTTGGCGCACGCGAGGACACAGTGAGAGAGCGTTCGCTCGTCAACCCTGAAAGCAAATGCTCTCCAATGCTTACGTTCTCTCCCACTCTCCATCATCCGCAACACAGCAGCACAGCAGTACCGCCTGGCACGCGCGTTCGCCCACTCTAACACATACACTCTCCAACTCTCCCATCATCTTAACTCTCCCTCGTGCTGCTGTTTGCTTTGTTTAGGCATGCAAGAAAAGGAATGAATAAAAAAACGTTTACTGTTGCATAGCTCGAGGCGCTAAGGGCTCTGACGGTTCGAATTTTCACAGTTAGCTGTTGTTGCTGCATTTATTGCTTATCGCAAATACAACAAATAAGCAAAAGATTTACCAATTTTCACACACTCGTCTTCGTAGGTTCGTGTGAGCGCGTGTGTGTGTGAGTAGAGTGCTCGTAGTAGGTGAGCATTGCGCATGCTTACGCTAAGAGGCGCCCCATCGTGTCCTGGCTGGAGGACGATGTGTCGCACACAATGCGAATCGTGGTGAAACCGTTTTTGCGCGCGCGGTCACATGACACGAGGCCAACACATACACACACACAACATACACACGCAAATCTGTTGAGGTAGCAAGCAAAAAGCAAACAACCCCCCACCCTCGCTTTGAGCCTGGGAAATAGGCTTTGATTTTGTTTAAATTATATATGAGCGTGTTTTGCTTTCGCTACCATATTTCCCACAAACACAAGCACACACACACGCACACCTGTCTGTATCTGATGTGCACATGAATATATGTATATACATATAGAAAATTTAAAGACGATTACGTTTGCGAAACATTTGTGTAGAAGGAAACGTTGCACGTTATTTGGCCAAAAGGAAAGTCTAAACTGAACATCCGCGTTGTGCTCAACACTTTTACTGCTGCTGCTTCGGCTGCTGCTGCTGCCTCTGCTGCTGTCTTAGTACCGCGCAGTTTGAACGCGTATGTACATATTATGCTAGAGAGGAGTGCGTGACACGTGCACGTGAGTACAAATACATATATGCTCAAACTTTTAAGTTTAAAACCAAATGCAAACTATTCAATTAATTGATTAACTAATTATTATAAATCTATATTGTATTAAATACTAAATAAAACACTATTTGTATTAAATATGTATATGGTTTAAATACTATTTGAGTCCATACAAACTTGTCGAAAATATCAGCAAGCAAACAGAAAACTTTTTTGCAAATATTTCATTGTAGAATTTCATATCTATATTTTTGTATAAATAAACACGTTCTCAAAAATTAATATTCCAACAAATAAAATACATAAATACTTCAATTTTCGTGTTCTCATTGCTGAAAAATGCGATACACGCCCATCTCTATAAGCATACAAACACACATACATACACAGGGGCACGCATACAGACAAAGCTGGTCAGCTTGGTAGCAGTTATGCAAAGCAGCGTCGCTTTGCTGCGCGTCGCGTCGCTTTAGGGTTGCCGCACAGCAGAGCTTTGATTTGCGTCCGCCCCAACTCTAGGCCTAGTGCGCGATTTGGGCCAAGCGGCAATCCTGAAGCCATGGCCTGGAATCGATACTTGTTGTCCTCACACACACACAGACACACGCATACCCATACACTCTATCACACAGGAACAAAGGAACACACATCAAAAATTTAATCAACTCAAATGTAAATACGCACACACACACACGCACGGACTTAATAGCACAAAAATTTGCATTGAAATTGTTATGAGTTATGCCGTTAAACGTGCTCTCCGTACTACGACGCTCTCCCATTTAACAGCTAGCCAGGGCGGCCATATTAATAACAACTCTCCCACTCGCACACACACACACGTATGTATGCCATAGTATGTATACACTCGACCCATTAACACACAGAAAAGTATGCAATAAAAAATGGCCAAGCTCTTGCGTCATATGCCCAGGAATCATCTTGAAATCATGTTTGCAAATACACATATACACACACTCAAACAAATACACACTGGCAAACACAATTTATCATCCCAATAAGAAACTTGTTGGGCTGGCACGCGCGAGTCAACCACCAGCAGCAGCAGCAGAATTCGCAGTCGCAGTCGCAGTCGCTGCCGCCGTCACCATCGCCGTCTGTTGATAGCAATATGAGGGCGCCATAAACAACAAATGTGGTGGTGGCGGGGCGGACCCATCAGCCCAACCATCGCCACCGCAACCTCCATTGTTTGCATGAGTGTGTGAGTGAGAGAGATTACAAAAGACTTTCATCATTTCAGATTAAGTGATTCATTGGTCAGCTAAATAGGTTTTATGATGCTGCTCCTAATGACGGTGACGCTGACGCTGACGTTGACGACGCAGCTGCTGCACAAGCACAGAGCACACTCACTAACGACAAGCATGTTGTCATTTTTATCAGCATATGCATGTACACCTATACATACATGCACACTTATATATATGCATGAGTATTGTACAATTTGCACAACAGACGAGAACAGAAGGAAAAAAACAAACAGTCACAAAAAAGAGTAAAGCGCTGACGCTGCAAACATAACATCATCAGCCAACAACAACAACGTAAAAATTCCATTTCACAAAAATTCAATCAGCCACCCCCACAGTATATGCGCCCACCTGTTTCATTGCGTTTGGCACTGCGTTGATATACATATATGCATAGATATATGTGTATTTGTATTGACACTTGCACGCGTGGCCAATTTGTTAATGCATTGCGTCGCAATTGTTACTACGCGTATTGCAATTTTCGCACCTGGACTTCAACGCGCACAACTTTTTCACTTATTTGCTTGAAGTTTCTTTGACTACATGTATTTCTCCTAGCTGGAATCGTCTCGTGTGAAGCTACTTCATCAAACTGAGCAGCAAGTAAACAAACGTAATTTGCGCAATGTGAATTGTAAGCGTTAACAGCATCGTAAGTTGTTAAAGCACCGCTGTTAACGCAAATCGGAGCCAGTTTAATGCTGTAATTGCTAATCGTAACGCGAAATGCGTAACGTTTGCAGAGAGACGTACAGCAACGCAATATGCTGCTCACTTTAACGCGAAAATGCTCGACGTTAAATGTAAAAATATGAAAATAACATTTTTGACTTTTTTTACTGTTAATTTAAAAAATTTATTTAATTTTTATAAAATTTGATTCATGTATTTATTTATTTTTTTTTTAGTGGCTGTTTGTTATTCTAGATATAACATTAATTATTACATTACGAGCTTTGTTTAATATTTGTTGGATTAAAGCAAAAACTTTGCTGTGAATCCCCGCAAAAATTTATTTATTTATGTAGACATATAAATTTAAACAAATTTGTAATGCATTATATTTAAATAAAATTAAATATAAAGCTTAATTATTGATTTAACCACAAGCAGAAGCATTGTGAAACATACAATAATTATATATCTATATATGTATATGCATTATTTTTATGTTTCATATTTACATATGTATGTATGTAAAACCAATGATTTATATTAGGTGAATATGATTCGAGTGTAGTTTTATAAAACTTGAATAATACACGGACAATAAGCTTATTTAAACAGACATAATATACAAACTATATATGCATATATGTATATACAGACATACATATATACGTAAACAGGATTATAAAATAGTACAATAGGTTGGATATAGTATAGTATAGCCCGATCAATTCGAGATGAGTATATTTGGCTCAATTGAGTGTAGGACATTGAAGCCCTTGTGTAGAATGCAGGTGCGTAGGACGCCGCAGGTGACCAAAAATTGCGAGAACTGGAATATATGTACAGATGAGAATTGAGAGATGCATCAGATAGTTCTATATATATATATACTCAGACTGACCTCCACGGCATGCTGATGTATGTTGCTCACACAGACGACAATGCGTTGTCTCAGCTGCGCCTCGAGTTGGGGCACCTGCAACGCCTCGAGGCGCTGCTCTCCCAGCTGCACGGTAGCAAAGGGTATATTGATTGAATGGGGTACATGGACATGGCCGAACTCGACAACGCTACGCAAATCGATCAGGGCCAATTGTTCCGGTGCGTGCAGCAGCAGCTGATGCACATCCTTCGCGCTAATGCGCGGACACAGCTCCGACTGCAAATGCTGCAGCTCCACCTCCCCGGCGCCAATGTCCTGCAAAATCGAGGCAAAGACAAGTGTGAAATGAAATCGAATGGCAAAGGCGATTCACTTTCACCAACCAGAACATGTGGCGTCTGCACGCGCAGCGCATGCTGCCGATGGGTTATGCTCTTCGGTGTGCACTCGTACATCTTCTGGGACTCAATCACACAGCTCTCCATCACAATGTCGGGCAGGTCGGAGAAGAGCAGGATGCACTCATTGAAGCCAGAGTTGAGCAGCGTGCTCTTCAGCTGCTTCAATATGGCAACGCCAATGAAGAGCGGGTAGGAGCTGTCGCCCAGCATCAGCTTGTCCCATAGATGCAGAATCTTGTGCAGCGGAAAAACATCTGCAAGCAAGTCCAACAATCAGTCAATCAGCCAATCAGTCGGTTAGTCAATCCGGTGCAGACTTACGCGAGAACATGGTGAGAAACCAGGGAATGGCAAACAGCTCGGGTATAAAATTGATGCTGGCCAAATGCTGTGCCAGCAGCGGCTCATGGAATGCGCTCAGCTGAGAGAATTTACACAGATACTCCTTAATGATAGCCGAATTGTCCTTCAGAAAGAACCACTGCAGATACTTGGGTATAAAGCGGAACAGACTCAGGAATGCCATTTCTAAAAGACAAAAGAAACGAAATGGATTATATATATATATATGAATACATGGAGGAAAAAGAAACTAGTTAATCCTTAGATTTGTTTAACAATATAATCTACTTAGATTATTATAGACTATT